AAACAAATAAATATATATATATTATATATATAAATATTTATATATATATATATATATATATATATATTATATATATACATTTAACAGATTACTGGACAAAGAAAAAAACATACTGATATTAATTAAACAAAATGAAAACAGAAACAGACAAAAAATAAAATAAAAGGAAAATAAATAAAAAATAAAACAACAAGTCAGGACAATTATCTGAATAACTGGTTACACTGCACTGATTACCGTTTACACTTTAGAATGGTACTACCATTCTATAAAGGTACGGGTGATACACTACGAGGCTGAGTAAGCATTTGGATCAACCTTTGGGTAAGAAGGTTCAAAAAAGGCTGCCAGATACTGCCAAATTTATTAGTGGAGCCCAAGGTATCATACCGCACTTTCTCCATGGGCTTTTTCCATCTACTAAGCCGCACTGTTGAATAAATTAATAAATTGTTAAAATACTTTATGTTTTGTTTTTTTCAGATTTCAGTAATTTAATCTCAATTTCAGTAATTAAATTAAATTAATTAAATAAATTAATTGTAAATGAGTCCTTGAGGCTCAATGGGATTTACTGGTCTAGATAAAGGTTGAATGAATTAAATGAAAAAATCCAAAAATCAGCACCAAACACAAGTTATTAACAGAACAGGCTGTTTGTCACTGGCAGAGAAGATTTGATTTGGCTTTTGGACTTCTTGTCGTGAAGACAACAGACTAAGTGACTGAGACGTCACTTTCCATCAAACTGAACAGAGGAGTTCCTCAGGGATGTGTATTCAGTCCTTAAGTCTTTCTTCTGCTGAAACACATACTACTGCCAATGTCAGCACAAGCCAGCTCAGTGAGTTTGTTGATGATAGATCAGTGGTGAGACTCATCATTGATGACACATTTTTCAGAGCTGAGGTGGAGACAACAATTTATTTCTGAAAATTAACCTAAAGATTGATTGTGGTAGTTGATTTTAGAAAACAATCTTCTGCACATCAGGGACTTAGAGTTTTTCCACATTTTATCTCTCCTGCTCAAACCACAAACACATTTTCCTAATAAATATGGCACCATTAAAAATAAACAGGATTTCCAACAGTTAAAGACTTATTGCTTAAAAGCATTGCTACAGCAAAGAAATAATCAAACATAAATTTCCTTACTTTTTGGGTTATGTTTAGAAATATCTCCAAAAGCCCAGTGCATGCACAACTGTGAAAATTTCTATTTTACAGCCTATACATTTATTTTTATTATTCTGAAAAGTTATTGAACAGATTTATTTATCTATTTGAGACCTGCCACCAGGAAAACGTTTAACAAAGGAGCCTAAAAGAGACAATTTAGACATGTTTTATCTGTGCGTGAGTTTGTACTTACTCATTCCATATTCATCATAATCATCATACCAAGTCCTATCAAAGGGAGCAATGGGTGTGGGTTCTTCTGTATTAAAAACAAAAACACACAAACAGAACATTAGATGACTTCTTTCACAGTTTTGTAAGTACTGCTACTTTACAAGTGGGATTACATAGTTTAATCTGCAGTTTTAAAGCCTTGCCCTGCCCTGATTCACTCAACCACAAGAGTATCTTTGTTTGTATGACGCCTGCTGTGTAATTAAGTTGTTAAAGCTTTAATTTACATTTACAAGAATCGTAATTTTGCTGGGATCTGATGACAGAGCTTCTTTTAACTTCGCAATAAAACTATGAAAGGTTTTTTTGTTGACCAAGTGGAACCAAGCAAACCCACCCACTCCTGTCTGAAAAGTAGGGCAGGTTGCTGCAAAGACTCACACTAATGTCATTCACATGTGTCCATGAACGACTTAAATGGAATTTCATATGACTCATAACTTTTACTAAAAATGTCTCTGGTCAAATGTTTGATTGGAATTATTATTTTTTGATCGGATAGTTTAAGTTCTGATAATGTTTATGTGACAGCAGCAAACCTGGGAGAGTTTCTACTTCAATTTCAGGGCTGACCTCTTCACCATCAGGAAAGGGTAGTTTGTCCGGCAGCTCAACTGCAGGAGGGGAAAAACAGAACAGAATAAAAACACTAAACTGACGGAGTATTGAAAAAACTCAAGAGGGAATTAAACACAGACAGGAGGGTGAATAAACTGTGGAATATGCTGGAAGAGCAGAAGATAAAATGACTCAAAACACAATGAAAAACACATTTTGGTTGGTTTGAGGGGTGTCAGAGTCAGATTGCAAACTTTTCCAGCTTCATGTCTTTCTGGTTGCAGAGCCACTTTAAAGCTAACCACGGAGCTGACTGAATGTGTTGCTGATCAGTCCATGAACAAAGTAAATCAGGGTGTTAGAGACATCAGTATGTTGTGTACCATGAGTGTATTACAGAGGTGGAAAACCAACCAGAAAATCTTTATTTTCCTGTGATTGTTTCCAACATTCTTTGGTATTTCTCCATGTCTCACACAAATGTGTGTTGAGTTTTTCCCCAAATTGAATCAATTGTAAACTTTAACACAGTTATTTTAACCACTTCAAGCTGTTTCGCCTCCAAACAACAACAAAAAATACCTTTCAGAGGCAGGAAGTTCTTATTTCTTTTTTGATTATTGCAATAGAATTAGTAATGACAGGACACTGGAAGTCATTTACCGTAATCAACTTGTTTCTCTTTTTGAAGTTCAGTGCCCTGAGATGACTTCTGCTGTGAATTGGCACTATATAAATAAACTGAATTAAACTGAATATTGAATTGAAGATGGTAATGTTCTCCAGTACTTGAACACAATGCTTGCATGGATTTGTTTTAACTTTTCTATTTGCTGTCTTTGCTTTAGAATGATCCCTCTCAGATGAAGCAGCTTCAGGTGATGTAAACAATGATCCATTAAATGTCACACCAAACTAATGGAGGAAACTAGAGGCCTAGCATTCCTTGAAGGAATGCATATTACCCACTGCCTTTTATGGCAGTGTTTTAAACTATCATCTTATGATGATGAATGATGGAGATATGGTCACATTTTAAAGATAACATTATGCACAATCTCATAATATTGCAAGATGTCACATTCAGAGTACATTTAGCTCATTATCTGTAAAACTGACTCTTGGCGTCACTTTTGTGAATGCTGATTGGCTGTGATGACCATCTTGACTTGAATTGGCTCTTAAAGTTAATCAATTCTAGATGTACATCCATTGATCACTTTTTGAACGTTCCATCGCGTGGTTTCTGAAATATTTTGCTAACATATAAATTGGGTTGATTACAAGTCAGTACTTTTGATCAAAGACTCACACTATGAGTAGCACTTGGAGTATGTTATGAATGACTCTCAGTTACAACTATAGTATATTAATTTTTAGGATATTTTATGTAAAACTTAAGCCTTAAGCCAAGTCTTAAGCCTCCCTGGTAAGGTCTATTCAGGGGTTCTGGAGAGGAGGGTCCGTCGGATAGTCGAACCTCGGATTCAGGAGGAGCAGTGCAGTTTTCGTCCTGGTCGTGGAACACTGGACCAGCTCTACACCCTCAGCAGGGTCCTGGAGGGTGTGTGGAAGTTTGTCCAACCAGTCTACATGCGCTTTGTGGACTTGGAGAAGTTTTTCGACCGTGTCCCTCGGGGAACCCTGTGGGGGGTACTCTGGGAGTATGGGGTACCAGGCCCTTTGATATGGGCTGTTAGGTCCCTGTATGACCGGTGTCAGAGCTTGGTCCGCATTGCTGGCAGTAAGTCGGGCTCGTTCCCGGTGAGAGTTGGACTCCGCCAATGTTGCCCTTTGTCACGATTCTGTTCATAACTTTTATGGACAGAATCTCTAGGCGCAGCCAAGGTGTTGAGGGGATCCGTTTTGGTGGCCTTAGGATCATGTCTCTGCTTCTTGTAGATGATGTGGTCCTATTGGCTTCATCAGGTCGTGATCTACAGCTTTCACTGGAGCGGTTCGCAGCCGAGTGCGACACGGCCGGGATGAGGATCAGTTCCTCCAAATCTGAGGCCATGATTTTGAGCTGGAAAAGGGTAGAGTGCCCTCTCAGGGTCGGGGAGTAGGTCCTGTCCCAAGTGGAAGAGTTTAAGTATATTTGTGTCTTGTTCACAAATAAGGGAAAAATGGAGCGAGAGATCAATATGCGGATAGGTGCGGCATCTGCAGTGAAACGGGTGCTGTACCGGTCTGTCGTGGTGAAGAGAGAGCTGAGTCAAAAGGCAAAGCTCTCAATTTACCATTTGATCTACGTTCCTACCCTCATCTATGGTCATGAGCTTTGGGTTGTGACCAAAAGAACGAGATCTTGGATACAAGTGGCCAAAATTAGTTTTCTCCGCATGGTGTCTGGGCTCTCCCTTAGAGATGGGGTGAGAAGCTCGGTTATCCGGGAGGGACTCAGAGTAGAGCTGCTGCTTCTCCATGTTGAGAGGAGCCAGGTGAGGTGGCTCGGGCATCTGGTTAGGATGCGTCCTGGACGCCTCCCTGGTGAGGTGTTCCAGGCACATCCCACCAGGAGGAGACCCAGAGGAAGACCCAGGACACGCTGGAGGAACTATATTTCTCAGCTGGCCTGGGAACACCTTGGGATTCCCTGAAAGGAGCTAGACCAAGTGGCTGGAGAGAGGGAAGTCTGGGCCTCCCTACTTAAGCTGCTACCCCCACAACCTAACCCGGGATAAGCGGAAGAAAATGGATGGATGGATTTATGTAAAACTGACTGAATTAGAGTTTTCATCTTTTCAGGTGAGTTGTCTGCAGCAGCCATCTTGAATGGGAATGGCTCCAAAACATAATTATTGGTAGAAATACATTGTATGATTAATCACTGAAAATTTCATAACTTGTCCAGTGGTTCATGGGGTACAGTATTTTGCTAAATTTAGTGCACACGTGCACAAACAGCACAGGCAAAAAATTATCTCTGCCTTTCAGCAACAGGAACCTTATTTTGGTCAAATCTTTTTTGAGATCATCCTTAATCTTATTTGATTTAGGTTTCACATGCTATCCCCCTCAAACATCTTCTGAAGCTGAAAGACACAAACATACGTGCAGCATCCCAGTAATCACTGTCATCTGGTCCAGTCTTCCCAGTGTCAGGAGCCCCAGGGGTCGGATCCACTTCCTTCCAATAGCTGTCGTAGTTGTCAGTCACAGGAACATACGATTCTGTCTCTTCCTCCGTCCATGCTTTGATCTGGTGGTGGTTGAACCCAAGTGCAGACAGAACTCAGAAGGTAAAATGACTAAAATGTTTATTCAACAAAAACAAAGAGCTGGCGTGACAGAAAACTTACATGACAACGAGGACACACAGAGGGAGGAACACAGGAATGGGGAGCTATACCCAGACAATGCTCAGACAAAGAAGAACACAGAGTCTTATATGGGGATGCTAACAACAGATAAACAGAAAGACCTGGAATGGATAACAGGGGACACAGGCAGGAGCTGATTACAAGACATAGAGGAGGACAGACAAGAGAGAACCAGACACTAGAAATGCAATCCTAATAGTACTCCCCGCCCCAAGGATGTCCCTTGACATCCCAAGACCCTCATCCACAACTAGGGTGGAAGGAGGAGGGAACCGTGAAGATAGAGGGCACAAAGGAGAACACGAGGGGAAAAAAAACTGACAGGGTACACCTGGGGCACAGAAGACACAAAAAATAAAAATCAGGAGGACAGCCAGGGGCCATCCATCGGGGGGAGGAGTTTCCCCCGATGGACGGTCTTCTGGCCACCTGCCAGCCAGAAGACCTTCCATCGCTGGGGAGGAACTCAAACGGACGGCCAGGAGACTGACCATTGCTGGCGAGGAGAGGCACAGGAATCAGGGGATCTGCAACAGGCAATGGTACTATGGAGACTGCAGCTGCGTCCCTGCGTAGAGAATGCAGGAACTGCAGCAGGTGTAGAAACTACAGGAACTGTAGTATGTGTAGGAGCCACCACAGGGACTACAGCAAGTGTAGGACCCTTTGGTGCCGTGGGACCCGCAGGAGACTCTGGCACCACAGGAGTCGAGGACGGGTATGAGGCGTCCTCCCGGACCTTCTCGGAGACACAGGAAGGTTGTGAGGCATAATGACTGACCCCCCACTGAGACACGGGAGGTGAGGCGCCATGGTTGACCCCTGCAGAGACACTGGAAGGTGAGGCATCATGGTCGACCCCCACTGAGACACTGGAAGGTGAGTTTGGCTTCTTCGTTGGCTGTGCTTCGTCGACTCTAGAGACACAGGAGGGACAGGAAGCTCAGTGGATAGGAGCTGGGTCTATCGTCTGTCCCTCTTGTGACGGCGACATGAGCTCGGACCAGAGGAAAACAGAACTCATCCTCGTCATCTGGATCCTCATCCTACGACCTATCGAAAAGCTCACGAGGTGAGCAAAGCGGCAGAGAGGAGGAAGAAACAGGCTTAAAAGCCAAACGGATTCCCTAGAGCTGTAAAATCCTCCTCTCTTCTTACTCCACCAAGAGAAGTGACGGGAGGATCTCCATTTCCAGGCTGCAGTGTCATTGTCCGGACAGGTTCTGTCCGGAACCCGCTCCACTGGATGACGGACCGTGTCTCTTGACCCGCTATCTCTCTCTTTCTCTCTCGCTGGGCAGTTTGAACGGCTTCTTGGGCCAAGTACTTGGCCCAAGTCATCCACCTTACTTGGTTCAAGTTTTGGTCTGGGCATTCTGTTATTATCTGGTGGTGGTTAAATCCAAGTGCAGGCAGGAGTCAGAGAACGCTGAAGGTAAAATAACTAAAATGTTTATTCAGCAAAAACAAAGAGCTGAAGTAGCAGCAAACTTACATGACAATGAGGACACATAGAGGGAGGAACACAGGAACGGGGAGCCATACCCAGACAACGCCCATACAAAGAAGAACACAGAGACGGGGATAGGGATAGGGGATAGGGGATAGGGGATAGGGGATAGGGATGCTAACGACAGGTAAACACAAACATCTGGGATGGATAACAGGTGACACAGGCTGGAGCTGATTACAAGACAAAGAGCAGGACAGACAAAAGAGAGCCAGTGGGGATCACTAGGAACACAATCCTCACAGTCCAACTGTCCTCATAGATGGGTGGAGAAGTGGACAGCTCCTTCTCCTCTGGTTTCCAGTAGTCATCGTAGTTGTCTGTCACAGGACCAGCTAGATCTTCGTCCTCAGGTCTCCACAAGTCATATGGGGGGTCTGTACCTGTGGATGGAGTGGTCTCGGCTTCCCAGTAGTCATCCTCGGGTTTCCAGTCTGACAGAGAAACAGATGATGACTGACTTAAAGAACAGATGTGCAGGTAAATTATTTTCTCATCACTCTAAATGGTAAATTGTAAATGGACTGTACTTATATAGCACCTTTCTATCTTATCAAGGTACTTAACGCTCTTTACACTACAAACTGTGGCCTCATTTATCCATTCATCTACAAAGTTAATTGAACAACTCATTCTAAAGAGAGGCGCAACTGGTAGAGCTGCTACCTCTCAGCGAGCAGGTCCTTGGTTCAAACCCCGGTCCAGGGGCCTTTCTGGATGGAGTTTGCATGTTTTCTCCGTGCATGCGTGGGTTTTCTCCGGGTACTCCGGTTTCCTCCCACAGACAAAAAACATGTATGTTAGGCTGACTGGTAACTCTAAATTGTCCCTAGGTGTGAGTGAGAGAGTGAATGGTTGTTTGTCTCGTTTGTCTCTATGTGGCCCTGTGATGGACTTGGGACCTGTCCAGGGTGTACCCCGCCCCTCGCACAGTGATTGCTGGACATGGGCACCGGCGACCCCCGTGACCCAAAATGGAACAAGCGGGTAAAGATAATGGATGGATGGATGGATTCTAAAGAGACTAATCAGAGCTTTATCACATTCATACACTGATGGGACACACATCGGAGACAATGAGGGTTCAGTGTCTTACCCAGGAACACTTTGGTATGTGACTGCTGGTGGATTCGAAGTTCAAACCCACAACTCTTGCACTGGAGGACTACTGCTCTAACCACTCAGCCACATCCGCCCAAGACTCTAAGACTTATACTTTTTACTTTTTTATCTAAGCTTTGATGTTCGTACTTATAATTTGATAAATTAGCCCAATCAAACATTTTACTCATGAAGTTCTGGTTTAGTAATTTTGGGATAAAATAACTTGAAAATTTGTTCCCGTTGAGATCCAAAATGATTTTTTTATTTTTATTTTTATTTTTATGTGGGACAAAATATTAGGACCACTTAAGGCCAAAGATTTGAAGATATTAGGACCACCTAATGCCAAAGATTTGAAGATGTTAGGACCACCTAAGGCCAAAGATTTGAAGCTATTAGGAACAGCTAAGGCCAAAGATTTGAAGATATTAGGACCAGCT